GATCTAACTGCCCTTTGATGTCAATGGGCAAATCCAAATGTCCTCTAGTATCTTAAGGCAGACCAGGGTTGACAACAAATTTACAGACAGTTTATATATATCAAAAAAAAAAATATATAATATATGGCCATGGGCCAGCTTCAGAACTGCGCGTGTACAGTTCTGAAGCTTGCAGAGCTTGAGCAGGGACAATGCTGCAGACCCTGATGTTAGTGAGAATTCTGATGTAAAGAGGAATGCTGCTGGCCATGATGTAAGGGGAATGCTGCAGACTCTGATGTAAGGGGGCCTCTGGTGACTGTAGACCACCTTACATCAGAGTTCCCCTTTACATTAGAGTCCACAGCATTTCCCTTTACATCAGAGTTCCCCCTCCCAACACTGTAAGGGGGAACCCTGTGTACTGATGAAAAGGGGAACTCTGTGGACTAAATTTCCCCTTTACACAAGAGTCCCCAGCATCCCCCCCTTGCATCAGACTCCACAGATTTCTCCTTTACAGAGTCCAAAATGTTCCCTTTTATAATAGCGTCTGCAGAGTTCCCCCTTGCACTGTAAAGGGGAACCCTGCAGACTCTGATGTAGGGGGGGGATGCTGGGTTATATTAACTTAACCTTCATGCAAAAAGTACTATATCGCACTAGCTATGTGTCTGCAGCTTAAATATTGATATGTGCACTGAAAGCTGTCATTTTGGCTAAGTTTGTGAACCGCTAGCAAAACAAAATATATGTCAGTAAATTTCACTTTGGGAGATAGTCATCACTGGGGCAGACCCAACAATCCTCCGATGTTGATGGACAGATCCACTGTCCTCTGATGTCTATGTGCATGCAAGATTCCCCTCAAGTCCTCTATAGTGCTTTGGGTGCAAACAAAGCAGAATTTCACCCTCCCCTTGAAAGGTCAAGACATCCGGAGAAAAACACCCTCCAGCACATTGTAGAGTCCAACGCTTCTAAAACATTATTATTAATCTAGAACACCTGGGACCTCCTCCACTGACATGTTTCACCCACCACTGGAGATGACCCTTGTAGCCCAGTGCGGGTGAAGCACATCATTGGATGAGGTCCCAGGTGAGGCTTCTTGCAGTAGTCCTGGAATATTAAAGCGTTGGACTCCACAGTGTGCTGCCAGCTTTTTTCTGGCTCTTATATCTACGGGAGGTCTATCAATCTGCTCCCACCAGCTGAGGACAATCGTTTCCACACTGATCACATGATCTGATCTCAGCAGCCATTTGGTGGGATGGCTACATTTCCAGCTGGCCAGAGGAGGGAAGGAAGTTACAAATGTGGACATTAGATCCAATTATGACCATATGGGACATCAGCGATATGATGACTTTCAGGAGTTGAAGCAACCACCAAGTTCTCCTCAAAAAATTCAGTCACCTGTTACATCCCTGGGCTGGAAATGGGTTCAAAATGGCAGTACTACAGGGCCCCCTTTGTCAGTCTGCTATACGAAGCTTACTGTGCACACAGCTTATCTGAGGTGTCCACATCTCCTGAGAAGCTCCGCCTGCCATTTCCTGGCCAGCACTGTTGACACAACCCCGTCCTGTACTCCTGCTACCGGCCATCTTAGGTCTACATCTGCCTTGCCAAGTCTTCTCCGTATAGATTATGACATTATTATTAATTAAGATGAATTCTAGATGTGGTTATTTTTGTATTTCTACACTGATGAGGGATATAATTCCTCCCACCCACACCAAACAATGGGGGCACTAGTCCTTCCACCAACGCCAAACGATGGGCGCCATTCCTTCCACCGACGCCAAACGATGGGGGACCATTCCTTCCACCGACGCCAACAATGGGTGCACTAGTCCTCCCACCGACACCAAACGATGGGACACCACTCCTTCCACTGATGCCAACAATGGGGGCACTAGTCCTCCTACCGACACCAAACGATGGGGCACTTGTCTTTCCACCAAATGACAGGGCACCATTCCTCCCACCAACACCAACAATGGGGCATCATTCCTCCCACTGATACCCATTATTTCTTCTACCCCTAAAACCAAAGATGAGGCATGGTTTACTCCCACTGGGCACAGTCAGGACCCCCTAAAGTCTGAAGGACAGTTAAATGACCTTTTGTTTAGGAAGTTTGGGGACCCCTAGCCTAAAAAAGGTGGAATTCAGTGTGGAGGCACCATTACTACAGTTATCTCTACAAGCTTCCAGGTCCCAGGCTGAGTGGCTGCTGCCTCTTTAACAAAGGAGGTCGCTTACTCGGTACAAGCGCCATTCAGAGAACCCATTGCATTTTCTCAATGGACGCAAAATGTTCTCGGATTGGACGATGTGGAGAGAGCTGACGCCACAATCTCATCTCTCATCCAATCAGAGAATGTTTAGCATTCATTGAGAAGGTGCAACAAGTTGCCCGAATGGTGCGCATGCCGAACAAGCGACTGCCTTTGTCCACAATGCAGCAGCTCATCATGGAACCCGTAAACTAGCGGTAATCCCTATAGTAGTAGCAGCAGTGCCTACTACACTGGGTTCCAGCTCCCATGGGGGCCACGCATACATGCAACTACAAAAGTATCCATACCTGGAATGCAGCTAATAGGGTGGAGGATTCTCAGCCGGCTAAAAGGTTGTGCAATTCTGTAAACCGTCCAATTGAGGAACCTTTGCAGGCTGAGAGTTCGCAACCAGCGTTAGTCTTACTTGCACAACACAAAACATTCACATTTTTAACCATCTAATGGCCTGTTGCTGGGGGGGCCTCACGTGGCCCTCAGAACCCCCACAGACAGCACATATCATAGGAGGTCTAACATTGGAGCACAGGCTGGGACCATCAATCTGTAAGGACAATGATCTCTAGCAGCCTCCAGTCTATAAATCCCATCAGGAGTCCTCAACTCCTATAGCAGTCCTGTAGAATCAAAAACTCTGTGGCCCCTTTGGGTCAGGGGCCACACTTGAGTCCCTCTATAGGACCATTGGTTTTAAGAGCAATGATCTCTAGTCTTTAAATCCCATTAGCAGTTCATAACTCCTATAGCAGTCCCATTAAACCAAACACTGTGGTCCCTTTGGGTCAAGGGCCACACTTGAGTCCCTCTATAGGACCATTGGTTTTGTGAAGAGGAATGATCTCTAGTCTTTAAATCCCATCAGCAGTCCTCAACAACTCCTATAGCAATCTCATGGAACCAGACTCACCAAATAAAACACATGGCCCTCTGGAAATATCAGGGGCCACACTTACATCCCCCTATATCAGCATTGCCCCAATATATAGACACCCCCAATACAAAGTACAATAAATATATCAATATGTGGCATTAGTCTGGGTACTCACCTTCTGGTCCCAGCAATTGGTCCGTATCCAGCGGCACATTGTGTAGCCCATCGGTGGTGTCCGTGTCCAGCGGGTTCACCACAGACTGTGTGTCACTGTTGGGGCCCGGGGTCCCCTCAAAACAGCCTTCAGCAGAAACCATGGTTGAGCTGATCTAAGGAGGACTGTGAGAGGGTGGAGGAATCAGCCAGGAAAGACTCGCAGGACAATACAGCAACTGGCCCAGGAGGGTGGAGGCCACACACAGAGGACTGCTGGAATGTGCCTGAGGAGGGTATATATAGAGACTCAACCTCCCCTCCCCCTCCCATCACAATGGCGGCCCCCTGGTAGCTAGGCAGCCTATTATCGGGACATTTACATCAAGTTTCCTAAAAACTGTTTTGTTGGGAAAAACATATTTTGCTGCAACTATGTTCAGTACATTGGAATTGATTTTTTATTTCCCCCAAAAAAATCGCAATGATCAATAAGGGCCGGTTCATGGAAACGCAGTCCAGATGCGTTCCGGATGCGTTTTTGCATGCGCAGTTTTGATGCATTCCGGTGCGTTTTTTATGCTTTCCAGTTCATTTTATCTACTCAAACCTTTTCTCTGTGAAACTCAAAAACCCCTTAACTCAAAAGTATCAAACAATAAGTGTAAATAGAAATGAATAAAATAAATAAAGTAAAAATATCTAATAAATAAAACAAAAATATATACAAAAGTCCAAAATAAAGTGTCCAAAAATGAAGTATTTACTTATTTGTTTAAAGGTTTATACATTTATGTGGATTATTTTTGAAGGCAATACACTATTTTAGTTATATTTTCTCGAGGTCTGGAATGGAGAAATAAGTTGGACACACTGAATTAAAATATTTTGGAGGACTACCTATATTTGGATATATTGAACACTCTTTTTTGGACACTTTATTTTAGACTTTTGTATATATTTTTGTTTTATCTATTATTATTATTATATATTTTTACTTTATTTATTTATTTTATTAACCGCTCGCCTACCGGGCACTTATACCCCCTTCCTGCCTACCGGCACTTATACCCCCTTCCTGCCTACCGGGCACTTATACCCCCTTCCTGCCCAGGCCAATTTCCATCTCTTAGCGCTGTCGCACTTTGAGCGACAATTGCGCAGTCATGCAACACTGTACCCATATGAAATTTTTATCGTTTTTTTTTTGTGACAGATAGATCTTTATTTTGGTGGTATTTAATCACCTTGGGGGTTTTTATTTTTTCTTAAACAAACCAAAAACCGCTGAAAATTTTGAAAAAAAAAAGTTTTCTGTTATAAAATTTTGAAAAATAAGTGATTTTTCTCCTTCACTGATGTGCGCTAATGAGGCTGCAGTGATGGGCTCTGATAGGCTGCACTGATGTACACTGATAGGTGGCACTGATGAGGAGGCACTGGTAGGTGGCACTGATGGGCATTGACAGGCATCACTGATGGGCACTGAAAGGCAGCACTGATATATGGCCGTGATAGGCTGCACTGATAGGTGGCACTGACTGGCACTGATAGGCGACACAGACGGGCACTGATAGGTGGCACTGACTGGCACTGTTAGGTGGCACTGACTGGCACTGATAGGCGGCACTGACTGGCACTGTTAGGTAGCACTGATAGGCGGCACTGACGAGCATTGATAGGTGGCACTGATGCACACTGATAGGCGGCCCTGACTGGCACTGATAGGTGGCACTGATTGGCAGCACTGATAGGTGGCACTGACTGGCACTGATGGGTGACACTGCAAGGCAGCTCAGATGGGCACTGATATGTGGCATTGATGTGCACTGGTAGGCACTGATATGTGGCATTGATGTGGCACTGATGGGCACTGACAGCTGGCAATGATGAACACTGACAGGTGGCACTTCTGGGGCCACACTGATCATCAGGGCACACTGATCATCAGTGCTCTGATGATCAGTGTAGATGTCCCCTCTGAGGAATGCCGATTACCGCCTCTCCTCTCCTCTCCTCTGACAGCTCATGGGGAGAGAAATACCGATAAATGGAATTTCCATGTTTACATGCGATCAGCTGTGATTGGACACAGCCGATCACATGACCGAGCCGACTTCTTCGTCTCTTTCCATAGATTGGTGATCCGCTGTGTCCGAGGGACACAGCAGAACGCCGATCGCCGCGCTGCATGCTCCCTGAGCCGCACATGCGCGATGAGAATGGCAGGACATCATATGACATCCTCCCAGAATGAGAGAACCGCCTTGCACCCGTCATCGAACTATATGGCGGGGGGAGGCGGTTAATTTCTATTTACACTTCTTGTTTGGTACTTATCAGTTAAGAGGTTTTTGAGTTTCACAGAGAAAACGTTTTGAGTATTTATTTTGCTTTGAAGGGTGAAGTGTGACTTTTCTTGGGGTGGTTATAGTGAGAGTTTACTTATTGCTTTACAGTTCATTTTATCCTCTTTTATTTCAGCCCGGGTTCACACTTGTGCGGTGCAGCACATCGCATGTGATTCGCACAGGAACTGCACCGCATTCCCTGCAAATCATGTGCGCATTCTGTGCGGTGCGATTTGAGCCATCGCACCACATCCGCACCAAAAACATGCAGGAGGCTTTTTTGGGTCCTCGCTAGAATCAGATCACACGGGTATTCACATCTAGGCGATGCGATTCTGCACATCGTTTTACAGACCAGGGGCGGACTGACAACTCATGGGGCCCCTGGGCAATAGGGGATCATGGGGCCCATGTCCTTGCCCAAACTCAAAAAAGCCTATGAAAAAGGTACCAGGGGCATCTCATGGGGCCCCTTACTGACCCCGGGCCCTCGGGTAGTGCCTGAGTTTCCAAATGGTCAGTCCGCCCATGTTACGGACTGATTTTGGGGCGTTGTTAACATACACACCCGCAGCGGTTCACATGAACGGGGTGCAAGTCTGATGCGGAATTCACATAGAAACCACTGCGAATTCCGCACCACATCAGTGTGAACCCGGGATCAATTTAAATAGGGACATGTGCATTTTTGGTGCGTTCCGGTGTGTTTTTGATGTGTTTTACCGCATTCCAGTGCAGTTCTGTGTAGAAAAAATGGTTGTTAACCTCTTCACGCTGGCCGCACACAAATGTGCGCCTTCCCGGCATCTGGGCCTAGACGCCGAGCGGGCGCACATTTGCGTTCTATTAAAAAAGGGACATATGTGCCGAGAGCGCGCGCTCCCAGCACACATGTCCGGTACTCACGGAAAGGTCCCAATCATGTGACGGCGTGTCAGGGCAGTCACATGACCCTAAACCCTGCCCTGCCTCCCAGCATCTTGAACCCTTAAAGGGCCGGGAGGCGCAGGCGTGAAGGGGTTAACATACACACCGCAGCAGTTCGCATGAACGAGGTGCGATTCTGATGCGGTGCGGAATTCTCATAGAAACTGCTGCAAATTCCGCACCGCATCAGTGTGAACCCGGGATCAATTTAAATAGGGACATGTGCGTTTGTGGTACATTCCAGTGCGTTTTTGATGCGTTTTACTTCATTCCAGTGCAGTTCTGTGCAGAAAAAATGGTTGTTAACTTAACATACACACCCGCATCGGTTCGCATGAACGGGGTGCGATTGTGATGCGGTGCAGAATTTGCACAGAAAACGCTGCAAATTCCGCACCGCATCAGTGTGAACCCGGGATAAATTTAAATAGGGACATGTGCGTTTGTGGTACATTCCGGTGTGTTTTTGATGCGTTTTACTGCATTCCAGTGCAGTTCTGTGCAGAAAAAATGGTTGTTAACATACACACCCGCATTGGTTCGCATGAACGGGGTGTGATTGTGATGCGGTGCGGAATTCGCACAGAAAACGCTGCGAATTCTGCACCGCATCAGTGTGAACCCGGGATCAATTTAAATAGGGACATATGCATTTTTGGTGCGTTCCGGTGCATTTTTGATGTGTTTTACCACGTTCCAGTGCAGTTCTGTTTAGGAAAAATGCCGCCTCTTTTACTTTTTTTTTTCTACAACCGGATCTGCAAGCGTTGAGGTGAACTATGACATTTTCAACCCTATCACCTACTTTCTGTGCGTTTACATGCAGAAAAAAAGCAACTGAAACGCATGTCGTGTGAACTGGACCCAACACCATAAGGCTAAGTTCACACCTATGCAGTTTGCGCTTGGCCCGTTTCTGCATTGCGTTTTGCGTCACATTTTTGCACCTGCGCTTTCACGAAACACGCGCTATAGGCCTCCTTCACAAAAGGTTCCGGGACTTTTTTTTGAACACAAAAAGTTGCGTTTTTGTTTCTATAGACTCCAATGGAATCGCTGCAGAAAAGCACGTTTTGCGCTTTTGCTGAGTTTTTGATGAGTTTTGCTATTTTTTTCTTGTTACTAGGCAGATTTGAAACGCAAAACTCATCAAAAACTCATCAAAAACGCAATACGTTCTTTTCTGCAGCGATTCCATTGAAGTCTATAGAAACAAAAACGCAACTTTTTGTGTTTAAAAAAAGTCCCGGACCCTTTTGTGAAGGAGGCCTATAGCGCGTGATTCATGAAAGCGCATCGAAGACGCAGAGAGAGCGATTTATTTTAAGGGTCTTATGTAAACTTGAAGTACCTGGCTGAGGATCTGCAGTAAAATTTGCTACATTTGTTACCATGAAGATCACAAATATTGTCCTTTCGGAAAATCAAGTCTAATAAAAAATGAAAACAATTGCTACAATGTAGTCCAAACGTGTCTATGAGCATTGACCCCGGGTTCACGCCGAAGCGTTTTCTGCAGCGTTTTGCAGAAACGCAGTACGGTCCATTTAAAATGATTTCCTATGGGACAGGTTCACATCTCAGCGTTTTCACCCGCTGCGTTTTTTGGAAAGGTTCCAGGACTTTTTTAAACGCAAAAAGTTGCATTGTTGGTTCTATAGACTGCAATGGAGACGCTTCAGAAAAGCATGTAGTGCATTTTTGACACGTTTTTGATGCGTTTTAAATTTTATTCTGCCCAGCAACGAGTTGAAAAAAAAAATGCAAAACACAAAAAATGCATGTTGAAAAGGGCAAAACGCACCACAAAAAGCACTACAAACGCAAACGGCATAGGTGTGAGCCTAGCCTTAGACCCCATTCACATCGGGAATGCGTGACATTGAGTGCCACATCGACGTGCCTTTTGTGCGCATTTTCTGCTGGGCGCTGGGAGCCTATTCATTTCAACGAGCTGCCCTACGTGCGACAAACGCATCAAACGAAGCTCAGGGGTGCACATTTTTTAACCACGCATTCGTTGCGTTTTTGGTTCTATAGACTTCAATGAAGACGCTGAAGAAAAGCACCTAGTGCGTTTTTGATGCATTTTTTACATGTTTTTAATGCATTTTTTATGCGTTTTGCATTTTATTCTGCCCAGCAACATGTTGAAAAAAAAAGCATAAAAAAGGTGGCAAAAATGGAAAGCGCACTGCAAAAAGCACTGCAAAAACGCATCAAACGCAAACTGCATAAGTGTGAGCCTAGCCTTAGACCCCATTCACATCAGGAATGCGTAACATCGAGTGCCACGGCAACGTGCCTTTTGTACGCATTTTCCTGGTGCATATGGGAGCCTATTCATTTTAATGAGCTGCCCTACATGCCGCAAACGCATCAAACGAAGCTCATGGGTGCACATTAACCGCGCATTTGTTGCGTTTTTTGGTTCTATAGACTTCAATGCAGAAAAGCACATGCAATTTTAATGCATTTTTTTATGCGTTTTGCATTTTATTCTGCCCTGCAACATGTTGAAAAAAAAGCATCAAAAAACATGGCAAAATGGAAAACGCACTGCAAAAAGCACTGCAGAAACGCATCAAACGCAAACTGCGTAGGTGTGAACAGAGCAGGTAAGTACGACATGTTTGGTATTCATTTCTTTTTCCTTTAGAAGCACTTTACAGCAGAACAGAATCGCTGCCACGCCCGGGTTCACACGAGTGCTGCTGCATGATGATGCGTTTCTCAGTGCGACTTTACATGGTTTTTATATGTTTCTTGCTTCATACTTTCTTTTTTTTTTAGAAGGATACTGGATTAAATACGCAAAATCTGCCCAAAACGCATTAAAAGCACATGCACATCTGTTTACACGTGTTTGGTGCATTTCCATTGAAGTCTATGGGACTAAAAAATGCACTGCACTGAAAGAATCGCCTGCAACTTTACAAAAAAAAAAAGTGCTGCGACTGCACTGCATTGATGTGTTTCAGGGTGTCATTAACTTTGACACTTGTACTAGATTGCATGGATGCCGTACAATTGCATTGCAGTGCGGGAAACGCAAAGGAATCGCAGCATTTCCCGCACCGCATTAGTGTGAACCCGGGCTTATACCTGTACCAGATCGCATGGATGCCGTGTGATTTTAATGCGGTGCGGGAAACACACAGGATTCACTGCGTTTCACACACCACATTAGTGTGAACCACCTGTGCCAGATTTCACAGACGCCGTGCGATTTCAATGCGGTGCGGGAAACGCACAGGATTCGCAGCGTTTCCCGCACCACATTAGTGTGAACCACCTGTGCCAGATTTCACAGACGCCGTGCGATTTCAATGCGGTGCGGGAAACGCACAGGATTCGCAGCGTTTCCCGCACCACATTAGTGTGAACACGGGCTGGATCGGGAAGCACATCATGTAACAATTGCAGGTAAATTCTGTTTTACAATCCCATCCAATGTTCACTCAGGAGGTACTCAGATGTAAATGCCCCTCCTCCATCTACATAGTACATCCACACCATGTGTATGTCCCAGGTGGGGGGGGGGGGGGAGTGTATGTCCCAGATAGGGGGGGTGGGGGGGTGTATGTCCCAGGTGTGGGGGTGTATGTCCCAGGTGGGGGGTGCATGTCCCAGGTGGGGGAGGGGGGTTGTATGTCCCAGGCGTGAGGGGCAGGGTGTATGTGCCAGGTTGGGGGTGTATGTACCAGGTGGGGGGAGGGAGGTGTATGTCTCAGGTGTGGGGGGGGGGGGGGTATGTCCCAGGTGGGCGGGTGTATGTCCCAGGTGGTGGGGTGTATGTCCCAGGTGGTGGGGGTGTATGTCCCAGGTGGGGGGGTGTATGTCCCAGGG